GCCAAAATATCCAAACTTTGTTCTCACTTGCCATTTATGGCACTTCAGGCATCATAGATCTAGTGCGATGGGGAGTTGTTACAGGTTCTCTTGGATTAAGGCGATGAAAACTTTAGCCCTTTTTCACGAATACTGAAGGACCGTGAAAAGATGATATATCCTCGTGGTATTTATTTCTTCTGTCGGGCGGCGGTAAGTCACAAGGTCGAGTTTATTGGAGACACTATACGGACGTGGTGTTCCTTCTCTATGAGAAACCACCCCCTTTTAGTGCAATGGGGAGGTGCTGTTGTGAGACAAAGCCCTCTCAAGAAATGGCCTCGAAAGAAAAATGACACAGAAAAGACCAGATGATCTCATATTTCATAGTTGTCTTATCAGCATTAATTATTCGTCAGCATTTTAAAATATTCCACTTATAATCGTAATTATATAGCCTGGTTTTTTAAAACTATCTTCCTATGCTTTACTTAGTATGAACCCTAATTAACCAGTCATGTGACCTAACCAGCTATATTACCTAACCAGTCATGTGACTTAACCAGCCCATCAGCGAAGCACAGTCTGTACAGAAAATAGTTTTCTATGAGACGCAGCGAAATGGAAGGGTTTTCTTTATGGACATGTTTAAATACAGTCTCTTGCAACATAACAAGCTCATCTTGTGTTTAAAGACAACTTTTGTAACATGCGCTAATTTTAATTTTCAGGGTCGAAGTGAAGGCCTGTAACATATTTAAACATTTTCTTAGCATGTTCTCTTTCTAGAAAAAAAAAAAGATCAATTTCCGTTCTTCCCAAGTCTCTGTAGCCGTGTTTATTTCATTATTGTATATGTCTGGGCAGATATATATATCGACTGGAGATACCACACACACTCTTCCGACATATATTTGGTAAATGGGCGCACTTTCAAAATTCTAGATGACCAGAGACTAGTAGCAGATCTCTCGTATGATCATTCTCTAACAGTTCAGTCGGGGAAATACTGGTTGGTTAGATTCAATCTCTCAAAAACCAAAGTTCCACGATCACCGAACTGACCCATATTGTTCATCTATTGCGATGAAAGGGTGCTTTTTCTGGGAGGCCCGTGTCTTGAGCGTCTCTTGGGCGTTAAGCTCAACCCAGACTTTAAGTGGAACTTATATATACGACCTATCGACAAAGATGCTAGTTAAACGATTGGTTCCCTGTACTGCTCCATCAGGTTCCTGACTCATGTTATCCTCTACCTTTCATCGTCATCCTTCGACATCCCTATAGTTGGTCGGATCTCCATTGACAATCCCTTTCCACACTGTTCGGTCCTGGCCCCAGACGCCCAGTGCCCAACCCTGAGTCACGAGCTATAGTGTCGGGGAACGTCAGTTTCCGTTAGAAGACTCTTCCAGATGGTTGCCGTACGAGTAAGGATGAGACGATTTTCCTGACGGCTCGGTGGCAGTGACCGGCAAACTGTCATTGTTTTCAGAGAGATTGGTCTCAGTTCGCCGTAAATTGTGTTAAGCCTTGCATGGGATCTCCAACACGATGTTCTGGATTTTTATAAGATATTTTTCTACATATACAAGAGCCTGATGAGACCGAAAATGGATT